CGTGCCTCTCTCTAGTCTGTGTTGAAGAAGAGAGAGAGGGTGAGAGGGCCTCGGCCCGAGCCATTTTGGCTCAGGTCTTTCGCCGCGTCCTCCGCTTGAGGGAGGTGCGCTCGACAGCGGCCCTTGGGCCTGCGAAACGGTCGTCTCTCCCAGCCTAGGGGTGGACGGTTGTCCGGCTTGAGCCACATACTCGATACCGTTACAAGCTCAGGTTGCCCTTGACAGGTTAGGGCCGTTAGGGCATACGTCGCCGCCATGCGAGCTGAGCGGGGGGGTCGAAGCGTTACGTGACTTCATCGCGGCGGCCCTGAACCCGGACACAGTAAAGAACGGGGGGTGGTGCGAGGGACGTTGACTTTAACTACCTCACCGATATCGGCGAGCCTACTTGCAAAGAACCCGGATATTGCGAGCCTCCGGGAGATCACCTGGAGATAGAGTATAACACGGGAGAGATCGTGACCAAAAGTGCCATCTTCGGGGACGCGAGCCAATCAACGAGGGCCCCCCACAACCACTCCGACCCCCAAGGCACGATCCAGCACTTGCCGAACAACGAGCCCTACTGGCTGCCCGAACGACAACCCAGGACCTTTCGCCGCGGACCTCGGAGCCCGTGGCACCAGAGCCACTGGGACACCCCTCGCGGACACCCACGACAGTGACATCGAGCCATGGCGGCGCCAACGGAACCAGGAGGATCGCGCAAGATGGTGAGTGAGACGAGCAGAACTCAGGAGGCAGGGCTAAAACCAGGCTACTTTTGGGACAGCGGGTAGCGAGGGTAACATCGCCGGGAAACGGCAGAGGACCTATCTGCCAGCACGGGGGTGGCTCCAAAACAGGAGTTTCCAAGGGTGACTTCTGAGCGTTCCGTGTTGTTCGAAGCAGCTACCAAAATTTTCCGTTGAATTTTCCTGGGCCTGGGGGCGCTGCTTAGCGCCCAACCTTTACATCTGTACCCGGGGGACCACTGTTAAGTTCTGGGCTGAAGGATGCCTCTAGGTATCCTCTCACTCCGTTCTTTCCGTTTTCTTCCAACAGCAGGAATCCTAGAAAGACGACTTTTCCTACTCGGCTCACTCCGTCTAATTCCAGGGGACCGCAGAAGACGACCCCCCGAGCTTCCTCTTCTTTCCTTTCACTCCGGGGCATGTAAAGAAGCGACCCCTGAGCACAGCCACACATAGGCCCATCGAGAAGCGGCCTGTCCGTAATATTTTGCTTATGCTTTTGGCTGGAGCCCCGACCAGCACCTATCTGCCGCGGCCTCGTAATTGGTTAGCTGCTGAAGGGGCTTGTGCTAACATTCTGTTTTCGGGAACCCTCCTTTCCCCCAATAGCAACATAGTCCGAGGCCCCCCAAAACAAATGTCATATCCAGACTCGGACATTGGCATAGCGCGGCGGCACAGGGGGGGTGCCCGACTCTCCAGATGCCATGCAAGCAAGCCAGCAAGCAAGCCCAAGACCTGAGAAAGAGCAAGAGAGTCATCCGAGGGGTCCGGAAACCCGGACGTGAGAGGGAGTGCTTCAGCTACTCGGCCACTCCGCCATCGTGCTGGCCTATAGCCGAGCAGGGGATTGCCCGTGGTGGGTGGCAAGCGGGAGGCTTTGACGACGGCGGCAACGACGTAATAGTGGTACGTGTCACTACGTGTCCCTGCCATCGATCCACCGCCAGGCCTACGACGCTCGGGGCGCTACCCGTCGCCTGCCCTGGGTAATTGATTGCTGCACTGGCGGCCCTGTGAACGCAAAGACCAGAGATGGATCAACAGAGGGCTCGGAAGGAGTTTCGCCACAGAAGTATCAGAAGATCAGAAGGCGGAGACGGGGGAAGCCCCACCGATGATATCAGTCATGAAACGTTGGGCACGGTCGCGATGAACCAGGCCGTGATAGCTATGGACGACATTACAACGTGGGGAACATAGTCGATCAGATCGAGCGGGGGTCAAGACAGAGATGGAGTCGACCTTCAGCATGCACACGCAGCTATGAGGAATCCTTGCAGACCACCTTTGAATTCGCCGAGGGTTTAGTTTAATTTAGCCGGTGGTTTCGCAGTTTCGCAGAGAATGCAGTAATTCCATCTCCAGTGACGAGGCACCCATTGTGAATTGTCAACCAGGGTGCGGCAAGCATGCGCTCATGCCTTCAGCGAAGTATGGCGAAGTGCCGGTTAATTTGCAGACTCGGCTGGCCACTTAAGCTTTAACAGAAAGTTGTGTAGCAGATGTAGCAGTCCTGTTGAATCGCAATCCACCGAAGGCATTGGAAAGGCATGCAACAAGGCAAAACTTCCAAAAGCTAAGGACTAGGACCGGGATGAGCACTTATTCGTGGAGATCCATGGAATATCTTTTGAATCCAAAAACGGAAGACTCCGACCACGCTTGTTGTGCACAAATATGCACAAATGGAAGCACCCGGAGTCACGCTGATTCAGCTTGGATGACCCGGCCGGGCCTCAAGCCCCGCAGAAAGAACAAAAGAAGGATAGTGAAAGAGACAGACAAACAGCAATAGAAGGAAAAACAAGACACATAAACTCAGACCGAGTCTTTGTTCACCGTGTCGCCCAATGTGGTGGACAGTGCGGGCACACGGATTGCCCGACGACCAGGAAGGAAACACAGATATATAAAGGTAGACAAGAGATACAAGAGAAAGATGTGTAGGGAGAAACAAGAGTTGTGCCATAAGATAGTGTTCTCGGCGACACATCGTAGGGAACCGGTCAGGCTGGCAGTCATGGAAGTCAAATGGGTGGGCATCCCATACGGGGAAGGATGGGGCTTGGTTGCAGGGTTCACATGCACGGGAGGAAACAAGAATGCAGTGCGGCAGGGTGCCCTTGTGCGCTCCACGGCTGGGGAAGCACAGATCACAGTGAACACAGTAGGTAGACACCTCCAGCTCACCCTCTCAACAATCAATCTTCCCAGTGTCGCAGTTCCTGTGAATTCAACAAGACTTGCTGTCTCCTGGGCCCTCTCAAAGAAACGAGACGCGAACGGTAGGGTGGGTCGGGCAGCTCGGGTTTCCATCAAGGATCTTCCTTCGCACGCGCAAGGCAATCAAACGGAAGCTCAAAGCCCAAAATAGATCTCAGAGTTCTGCTGCTGCCCGCTGGGCAATTTTGCATTGAAAGCGCAGTCGAGAAGTTCAATTCCCAACACTGATGTCACCAGACCGGATGTCGCTTCTGAGTTGCAGCAGAGTGAAGAGCGAAAACGCAGGATTTGCAGCGACGGAAAGGCCAACCGTATGACGACACTCGGGCGTTCATTGACAACTTCTTGAACCGCTTGTTTCTGTCGCGCATCGGCATGGAGACGCTCACCTCCCAATTCCTGGCGTTGTCGCGCGCTCCGGATGGTGCCTCTCCAACAAGAAACATTTTGAGAGCGGCTCCGAGTATTTTCGTTTCGGGTGAGTGCTCCAAGCTGCCTCTTCTGCCAGGAATCGTGGATCTCAATTGCGACCCCTGCCAAGTGTGTGCGAGTGCCGCCAAGCAGGTGACTGGAGTAGTGTCTTGGCCGTACTCACAGGCACGGGTTACTGGCATCACTGCCTGAATGACACACTTGGAATATGCAGAGCTACGGCCGTCTTGGAAAGCTCTACATAACCCTGTAAGCTGATCTCGCAGCGTGGCATGCATGTGGAAATCACACCTACAGCCTCCTGAAGTCTCCAGTGCTCCTGACCGAACTGAGGCAAGCGAATACTTGAGGACACGTCACGGCAGCGCGGACAGATGTAGGTGAATGCAGCTGCATGCGCTTCGACCCGGCAAGCTTCGAAACGTATCCGAAGAAGTCACCGCAGGACGGTCCCCAGAATAGAGATCTCTTTCCACGGCAACGAGCGTGCCCGCACGCTTCCTCTGATCCCACAATATCTTCTCTACATCGTCGTCTCTCGGCTGAAGACATTGAGAGAGGCAGAGACGCGACAAATTATGTAGAGCCAAATTCCGAGATTGGCTCGCTGAGGCCGAGCTTTTGAAGAACAGTCTACGTGCAGTTGGCGAGCCTCAGATCATCCGTTTAGCATGCTGGGGCTTACAACAGAAGTAAGCAGGAGTTAATATGTGATTTGTGAGCATGTCCTCGGTCGGGGTTCTTCTTCCAAGCCCTGCGGCTTAGACCCAGAGTTCGGGTAGACAGGAGGGTTGGTTCTTTGCAGCAAGCCAAACAGTTTAGATTGCATGCTGTTTCTGATATAGCAGCTGGTTTGCGATTGTGAGAAGCTGAAGGCCTTGCTGCACTCTAGCTGGTTTGGGGACCTCCACAGAAGAACGCACTGGCACCAGGTCTCTGCAGACTCCAAACTTTCCATGCTGTCACTCTCAACTTCCGCTTCGAACGAGATGAAGTCATTCTGGGCTCTTGCGAACCAGCACTAATTATCACGCACGGCGAAGATTGCCGAGTAAGCCCGCTGCTGAAGGACAGCACTTTGAGACACTTAGACCAGCGCATCATTACGCAGTTGCCCCCGGCCCCTGGGTCCTCCTTTGGGGTTTGTCCGCCCTCCGCCGCTTTGCGTGGCTCTCGAGACGGCCATGGCCGCATGTAGTCGTGACTTCCAAGGCACAGGTGTTTTCCAACACTTGGTTTTTGCTTGCTGGCATAGAAGCTTAGTCTGGAGATGAGCTGCGAGCTCGAACTTCTTCTAACTCGCACCGCTCTCTCCTGCAAACATGGCCCATCCAGGGCCATGGAAACTTGCTGAAAAGGGAGAGAACGAAGTTTGGGGTGCATTGCTCACTGCAACTGCCAAGGAACAGTTTGAGGCAAGTCCAAATGGTCGAAGTGAGCCCGTACCTTTGAAAGCAACTATGCCTTGACTATGCACGCGTTAATTTAATTGTTGCCTACAGTATCTCAAAGTCATAGCTCAGTCTCGGAGCTCACGCGCTAAAGCTGTGGCAAGCCTTTTCCAGTGATTCGCCTTCTAGGAACCGGTTCAGATCCGCGTGGCAAGCGACGAGTCCCAGGTCGCACCAGCTCTCTTTCAGACCTGCTTGATCGATTGCATTTTGTATCTTCGTATATCTTCCGACATCTAGAATCTTGGTCTCGTCTGTGGCCGCCCTTCTGCGCTGCATTGCACTGCTGGGTCAATGCCAGGTTGCTTTGCTGGTGACGGATCGGGGTGCTCGCCCAAGGAGGGCCTCAGTGTGACCATATGTCAAGCGCGAGTTCCATGACTGTCCAAGACGTGCCTACGACGTCGCTGAATCGTGACGAAGTTAAAAGGCTGAGTGCACTCCACTAACGAGCAGCTTGTCATCCTGGATAAGTGACGCACACTGGAAGCAAAGTGCTGTCTTGGGACCCATGTCTGCCACCGCCAGTAAAACTCCGTCTATGCTCCAACAGTTCTCGAAGTCCACCATCATGTCGGAACGTTCATGGCATTCGTTAGCCGTATCAGCTCTTCGCGAAAACGAAGGCATAATTAGTTCAAATACACAGGTACATATATAATTATATAATCATATACAGATACATACACATGGCTTTCCAGGTGGTGGCATCCCGTTCCAGCGGCAGCCGCATGTCTGGAGTGCCTCATCCAACGGCACTGTGTCTGAGAAACATGCAGCAATGATGTTCCAGCCCTGGTCGCGACCGAGGCTACATGTACTCCACCGCAAGGTGGAAGGGTACCTGTTGGCTTTGTTGTTGCGATTGGCCGGTTTGCATGCTGCAGGCTATAGGGCAAAGCGAAGCTCAGATAAGGAGAATTCTTCGGAGCACAGCGCATGACAGCATCAGGCGAAGCACAATGCGTGTCAGTGCTTCCATAGCTTAGCCCGTTTCGGGAACCAACGTCGGGCAACGCTCGATGCGCATGTTGAAAGGCCTGCCGCGAGAGGGTTTGATTGCACCGCATGCACCGCCTTATGCAGGGGAAACCAAGTCTGCGAGGCCACCGGCCGTGTTCTGCAAGAGGCGAGGCATACTAGTTACTAGAATCCTGTCGACGTTTCTTGAAGTATTCCCAAGGGCTCTGCGCCAACCTCCTTTTCGGGAACCCTGCCTGCAATACTCGCTCTGAGGAGTTCGCATGTTCTGCACCACGGCACTGAGGATATGGTGTCGGATTACCCTTGTCGCGCCTCTATGCTGAGCAACTCGGCAGCCGGTGAACGTGATTGTTAAAGTCGAAGCGATGCGCATGAAGTCCTGGTCCTCCTGACCCGACTCCATGCCGGAAGCAGAGGCTCTCGAAATGCATGCAGATGCTCTGATTCTGGTGCAGGTACTTGGGTGGTTCGCTGCATTTGATGCAACTTGGTCAAGCCATTGCTTAGCTGCGGTTGTACTCCACAGACTCCACAGGCAAGTGAAATTGGAGTGCAACAACCTGCGTAGGAAATCACAAACAGAAAAGACAAGTGAGCACCTGCTTCATGGCATCTCACCCGTTTGCTTCACAGTTGGGCCAGGTCAATGCCCAACTTCGGCACCCACGCCTACGTTTTTCTACAGCAAAGCTCTGACCGAGCCGAAGCGTTGCCCACTTACGTTCCTTGGCTATCGCTCGGCCAGCCCCCGTAGCCCGAAACGAGCAAAGAACAGAGCAACAGGCAATGTACAGTTCTGGAACCGAGCTACTTGTATGGGCTGCCTGTCAACGGATTCCGCTTTCCGTTTTTGCTGTAATTCACTGGAGTCTGGAGACTAGACCAACTTCTCGAATGCTCTGCGTTCAATAGCAGTCACTGGGTCGAAAGGAAAAGAGCCCGAAATACAAGTAGCTGTGTCGATGCTCTTGACAAATCCGTGCAAGCAGCTTGCTTGGCATTGCCTGTGGTCGTTCGCCTCAAGGTGAACTGGCTGCGCAAACGCCGTTTGCGGGAAGATATTCTGAAGTATGCTGCTTGTCTTAACCTGCTCTTGGGCATTAGTCCTGTGGTCCTCTGACCCCTGACAAAGGAGTCGCAAGAGAAACTTGCAGCGGAGCTTTGGCGGCACGAAACACAGACTGAAGCGAGTGGGTTGACTGTATGGTTCAAGACACGACCGTCTCCGGTCCAACTCGGCTTCCATGACTTTGAAAGACGGACAAGTCTGGGTCGACTCAACACTCTACACCAATCTGCAACGTCTTTCGTTGTCGCCTGTGTCGATGGACGGATCCCTCCCAGATGGCATCAGCAATTCCGAGTGCTCGCATGCAAAGGCGATTTCCGAAGGGAGAATTTGCAAGGGTTACATCATACCGCCTACCCTGGTTTCCAACTCTTGGAGTGCCCGGATGAGGTCGGGGCCGTTATGGAATAAAAGCTTCCACTGCAGCGTCAGTGCCAAGGCAGCACGCGATTATGCAGAAGCCCTTCGCTGCAAGAGCCTGGCATCTGAAGCCATGATCGAGCTTTCCACCTTGGAAGGCTGAGCTCCCAGTCTCTTTGCAGACCCGAGCTTGCCCAGCATGAAGCATGCACTGCTAGGAAAAGCTGTGAACATGTTCAGCTTAAAGCCTACAGCCATTCTGCCGTGCCGGAAGAAGTGTCAAAGTCGGCTTTGACGCATGTGATCTACAAAATTGGTGCCAAAGCCCACAAGTAACAAAATGCGCACTGGTCAAGTGCAAATCGCTGCAGACTTGCCCTCGAAGGCTTACACGACGAATGTATGTTGGCACGGCTAAAGAGTTTGCCGCGCATTGCATGCTTCTGTCTGTACATACCCAGTTCGGTGTTTTCCACAAGCAAAAGGAGAGTCTCGCAGGGTCGAAAAGGCACTGGATCGCTCAGGGTGTTTGCCAGGCAGAGAAGAATTGCTGTCTCGAATGGTTTGGCAATGTTGGGCAAGGAGCAAAGGGGAGCTGTCCGAGCAGAGCTGGCCCAGCTGGAGGCGCAGGCTCGTCAGTGCCCGCATCGGTATGAGCGGTTGCAAGTTGACACTGGCAAGTTCCCACCGGGGCGCGACAAAGTGGAACAGTCAATGCCCTCGCTGTTTTGCTCAGGGTTTGCAATGCAACACTGTGGACTGCTGTCCCGGAGTCCGTGCACGAGCAGGGTCAGTGGTCAGTGAGAGTTACAGTGCCTGGAAGTTCCTGGAAGGCCCACAGATTGGAATGCCAAGGCAGGGACATCGGGGCGCACAGGTCCTTGCCCCGACATCCCCGACAATGCTCCTAACTCCAAGGGCCAGCTTGGAACTGTCGAAGTGACGGGCCGCTCAGTGATGGGCTGCCCTGAGACTTTCTTCCAGGGTCGGGGCCAGCAACAAGCTAAAGGCGACGGGTACGAGTTAGGCAGAATGCCCATTGCTTGGCTCTTGGTAGCAAGAGCCACTAGACCCACTAGACCACCCCATCGGGCGAGGTGTGGACAATGTTTACACGAATGATCTGGACAGCGGCAAGGCCGCCCGGAAGCTTCTGGGCAGGTATATGGCAGAGTACAGTATGGCGTCGTCTCTCCATTGCTTGCCCTCCTGTGATGGATTGTGGTTGTTTCTATTCCGTGCTACCTACGACTTCTTCTTCTTCTGTTCCTTGGTGTTTTGGAGTTCCGCACCTACTCACGACGACTACCCCGGTCAAGCATGACTTCGCATCTTACGGCTCCGAGGGGGGAATGGGATCATGTTCCTGATATTCTTAGTGATTTTCCTTGACCAGATCTTCCTCGATTTGCCACCACAGCTGACCAGTGCAGCACAAATTTGTGGAGCTGTTTGCAGCATTGGCGCTGCATTACGGAAAGGCTCAGGTCTGCGTTCCGTTTGTGGTTGGCCTTGTGGTTCTTTGTCAGCTCAGAAGGTGTGAAGAACGTGCAGGACTGTAGTCACTGATTCTGACAGCACTGCCCTTGGCACCCAGCTGGCGGATGATCCCGGCTGCATATGGTTCAACCATTCGTACCTGCAAGGGACATCTTGCGGCATCATCACACATCAAGTCGTGCATGATTCGTGTTCGCTGCCGTTTGCCGCATTATCTTGGAGGACTGTGATCCAACGCATAGAATGCGTAATTGCGCAATTTTGCGCACCTGTAAGTTTGGATAATTATGCTGATTGCTCTCTTCTTCCACTGACATGGATATACATGGATGCCGCTTCCACATGATCAAACTGCGACCAACAAAGATTGGATCCAAACGTAAATACATACATACATACATACATACATACATACATACATACATATATATATATATATACATATGTGCAACCCTCTTGTATACTTATGCATGTAGTATGCTTAATTACTAACAGTTACTAAGAATGCCCCGTGAACGCTCTCTAGCACCACATCACTGCGATTATTGTTGGTTCGTTCCTTAGTTCCCGGCCTCGGCAAACATCATGACCTGCATCTTACTTGTTTCTTGTGCTGTTCATATTCTATTGCTGTAGTGGTCATCCGAATCCTCTTGCATATCATGGTCTCAGAGTCACAGCGTAACACATGACACGGTCGTATGCTTAGCGGTGTGCTCTCATGGATAACATGCCGATCCGCCATTGAGCCCGACATGACTGTGCAGACAATAGAAAATGTATGAGTATGGACTCGAGGATGGGTTACTTGGGAATGCTACCAAGCCAGTCCAGGTATGCCTTCTTTTATGAGGAGATATGTGACGATTTGCGGGAGACACCGAAACTGGGCTGGCTCTAGCTAGGCTCTTGAGCCTGTGACTTTGTTTATGGCTGGCTCTTAACAACACTGTCCAAAGAATTTCCTACAGCTGCAGGTCGGACTGCACACTTGGATATGAAAGGAGCCAGCAACTTTCGCCAACCTTGGGTATATTACGACATGAACATGACCACGCCGGTTTCGCTCATCTGCAGTCATAAACAATCACCTGCCCTCGGCCATTAGCTCAAAACTGGCTGCTCCGCAGGTTACAATCCGATTCAAAACGCATGTTCAATCAGCTGCCGAATGAAGCAATTCCGCGCTGCTGGATTCCTCGTACCGATCGCCCTGAACATCGGTTTGGACATCGCTTCACAGGCAGAGAAGTTCTGGCCATTGCTGCGGCAGGAGGCCATTGAGAGCCTCAACTGGTGCCGCCTCTACCATATTCCACATGGAGATGCAACGCAACCGTTGGCAAGTCATCACACGATGTCAGCACATGAACCTGGCTGTTGTAGCCAGACTTGCTGACGTCACCAAACGTGGGTCCGACCCATGTTACTATTAGCTTCATCTGGCCGCCGCTTCAACACAAGATGTGCCGAGACTCAGCGGTATACGCGATCAACCACGGATGAATAAAGCTTCTCAGGAAAAAAACATCCTCACATGCATGGACCTTGTATATAACATCCGCCCAATCGAGCTTGTACCACCCATCCCGCTTGACTAGCATTGTCACATGTTGGGTTTTCTTTACATGCCTCTTGAAAAGCTCCTGTTGTTCACATTGAAGCCATCACCGCAGCCTACGAAGGCACCGTGGTACGTATCTCAATGCAGCAGCCAATTCAATCTATTTCGCAGCAGGGGCACATGCCTGTCTTGGATACCTGTGGAAACGCAGCTTTTCCAAGACAGGGGATGGGTGGTCTGATCAACCACCCAAAGTACTTTCAATTTTGTTGCTTCCATCATTGGCCAATCTGTGAAGGCGCTACAATTTGAACCTTTGGGTTCAATCCGACGCGGCATTGCACACCATTGCATGCAGCACCCACTCCGATGTCAACAGGTTGCAGGCAATTACGAGGTGACTCTTGGCGTTTTCATGTTAAGCATTATCAGCCAGCAGACACGAGTATCCAGTTTCGATTTGCAGCTAAATCCAACCAAGATTGCGCCCAAGCTTGTTGAGATTTGTCGAGGTGTGTGGGTGGGTGTGGGTGCTCGCGCGTGCGTGCGCGTGTGTGCGTGTCTGGGGGGGGTGGGGGTGTGTGGCGGTGAAGGGGCGTTGGGAGTGGCCGGGATGGGAGAAGTTGGTGTGGGAGCGGGGGGTTCAGTCGTGCGCGTGCTTACCATTTTTCAGTGAGATGCCAAGTCTGTCCACAGGCAGATGCCAAGGACACCGCGGATAGGGATGCTACCATGATCGCATAGCCAAGCCATGTCGTAACTGAGTCTTACCTCAAGTGTGGTTCGCATCTCGAGGATCTGAAGAAAGCACTGCCATGGCCCCAGACTTCCAACCCTAAGATCGACAGTCAGGGATGAAGCTTCAGCAACGGACCGGACCATAGCCCGTAGCTATGGTATGCGGTATGCTAGCTGCATCGCCACACAGTGCACTTCATAGAATCCTCATGTGAGCGATTATGCAGCTTCTCTTTAAATTCACGTGATCTCGCATAGTTGGCCTTGAGCCTATTCTCGTTGGAAATTTGCACACTTCTCACTGACTTCCGGATCGTCAGTGTGCATGATTTGGCCGGCCAGTTAGTCTTAAGAGTTGACGCGGGTTATGGCTGATGGACGGTCATTTCGTATTAAGGCTTGCTCGCTTGGAGACTGTGTTGGAGCTCGTCGAAAGGCCGGACCTTGCTGAGGATTTCGTGGTGCAACAAATCGGCAGTCCACGCGTCAGTAGCCCTACTCAGGACCTTCCAGCGACTGAAGGACTCGCAACGGGTGGCTAGTCGAAGAGGTTGTACAGAGATCATTCCAGATCCTGGTGGAGGTAGCAGTGCCACTTTTCCTGGTAGCCTCGGCTCATCCCTGACTGGCGAGGAGCAAAGCAAACCTGCTCTTTGACCTGGACATGGCACGTCTCCCAAACACTGAAGACCCAAAGCTTCCAGCAGAGTGTTTTCACAGCGGGCTTCTAGTGTGAACCCCGCTTAGAGCTTTCGCAAACACAATCAGTTGATGCGAGTGCTCGGTTCGTAGCTTCGTACTTGGGAATGTCCTTGCTGCCAAAGTATTCCGTGGTCACTGCCAGCTGCAACATCACATCAAGACTTGCTGGTCGTGACATGTCGAGATCGTTGAGGGCAGTTACTCCCAAGTCAGCTCAAGCACCAGGTTTGCATAGCGTCATCCCAGCTACGCCAAATTGTGTGAGACGTTTCACAAGTCCAAGAGATCGATTGTCACCGAGCCTCGCAGCCTTCCAGAAAAGAGTCATGCAGCTTTGGCTCTCATAGACTATGACCTCTGCAGATTTAGTTGGCAGTGCTTTCCTGACTGGATCGAATAGTGCAGTAAAAGGCTATAGTGCTTGTATTGGATTGCGCGTAGTTTAGCCTCTTTCTTGTCAAATCGGCAGGGAACAAGAGGAGCTGCGTTTTTGGTACGGCCCCTCGCGCACTGGCGTCCGAGCTTGCAGAAGGCACATGGGTAAAGCTGACGGATGGAAGGATGCGGGTTGTTCCGGCTCACGAAAGCCCGGCTGACAAGGGACGAAGCCTGGTAGTCTTAACTGTCCAAGAAGCTGGGACCGGAAAGGAAGAATGAGG